CAAACAATTTAATATATGTTTCTGTTATGATAGCTTGGCAATCGTTTCAAGGCAACATGCAAAGATTAAAATAAATATTTTTCACTTCACTCTTCAAAGAATAGAAATTCTCTCTCTGCTGCAGGTATGTCTAGCCTGTGGCCCGTGGCTGCATGTGCTCCGTGATAACTGAGTGCAGCCAGACACATGTGAAGATCACAATGGCGTGCCACAGCACCAGAACATTGGGATGTCTGCATTATTGCTTCCTTAGCTACTTATACTGCTCTGCTAAGCCCTGCCAGGCTGGCGTTGGCCCTGGGTTTCCTGGTCTGCTCCATTTTCCCCACAGGAATCAGTTTAAACACCTAAACTGTCTGTCAAAAACCTAGTTGCCTAAAGTTGGCATGTCATGAGCAGCAATTTAGCTCCAATTCACATTGAGGCTAAGAACTACCTCCAGCCAGGTGTTTGCCTCACATGGCCTCTGAGATGTCCTGAATTGCTGATGCTCCAGGAATTAAAAACCCTGCACGGTTTCTCTGAGTTCACTGTGGGGTCCTGAGGAGCCTGCAGCTTGGGAACCCTGGGAGTAGCGAACAGCGTGGGAACATGTGATGTGCACAGCTTGATCCCGCGGCGTGGACCTAGCTGCTTCCTATGCTCCCTGCAGATGCCTCCACCGCCATATCCAGTTTTGTGTTTAGGGATTTCAAATCTGCAGGCCGCATAATCAAATTCACTCAATAAGGGCTAATAAACCAGATACCTGGAGGTAAGTCCGTTGAGATTAGCTGACACCCTATGTAGATCTCACAGCATCAAGACACCTCCATGCCAGGAACCCCCAGAACCCCTGGGGGACTGAGTAGAACAGCAGTACAGAGGACTGACTGGATTCGGGCCATGGCAGCCTTTTCCTGCGTCACCTCCTTTCCAGGTGTCCGAAGCCCTCTAGTGCAAAGAGGGGTCTGCCACATGGTCCTAAAGGAAAATCCATTTTGACACACTGCCACTAGAGAACACCCTGAACTCACCAGGTGCCCAAGTGTGCAACAGGTCTCCAGGGGACCGTGGGGGCAAAGAGCAAGTTCCCTGGGGCTCATCCAGTATGGAGACCACAGCGGAACCTCCCAGCCCATTCTCTGGCTCTGCCGCTTGAGGAAGGAGGCACACCCCTGCCCAGCAGCGAAGTCAACCTTTCCCGCAGTTCTTTCAAGCCAGCTGCTCCCTGCCATAACCCCAGGGCCAGCGCCGCAGTCAGGATCTCACAGCTCTAAGAACACACTCCGGAAGAACACCCGAGTGTGCTGAGTACCCACTGCCCCGCCTCGGTACTCAGAAGGCCGAAGGGCTCCCTGGAAGTAGGCCAGCCTTCTCTGCACGGGTCCTGCACCCCTGCATCTGCCCTGTGACCTCAAGTCAACGATTGATGTGTTGCCTGTCTGCGATGCGCACAGAACCCGGCTGCGTTCTAAGTCACAGCTTCCTAAAATCCCAAGTCAGACATTAGCTGCAGTGCTCACAGCATGCAGTTTGGTGGCACTGGGGTGTCTGTCCCCATGTGACTTCTGCACAGGGCACATCTGCCCCCTCGGAGTACGTTCACTAAGGAAGACTTTCACTGACACTTGGCCGGGGGCAGGGGCTGTAAGAGCAAGGATGGGAAGGTGACCCTTTGGGGTCTAATTAAAATAAATCCTAAATCAGTCATCTGAGAATGTTGTCATAAATGTGCTCCTCAAATCCATTTGAACGTCCTCATAACAGTTCCACTTTAAAAATGTATGTTGTTGATATTAATATCAAACTTGTATCGTGTTTTTTTAAGTTCACTCATTTTTATTTATAGTATGTCTTGGTGAAGCTGATTAATCTGACTTTAGATGGCATTCCATTGTTTAGAATGGCGACTGCATATGACCTATTTACATTAGAATAATAATGTGTCATCTTATTTTTTATGCTACATATAATTTCCCTTAGCAAGTAGATCTTTATCTAAATTTCATAGTATTTTAAAATCAACACTACATTTGCACCCCTTGTTTTCCCCCCAGCCTGGAACACTGAAATAAGTGATTTATTATTTTAATTGAGCATTTTAAATTTTAAAATGGAAAAAAATAAAACAAAACAAAACTTCCCATCCTCTCTTGTTTCAAATCTCCTTACCTGCCAATCACTGACTGAGTTCTTCCTTGGGCGGTGGCTGTACTTATCAATACAGTGAAGGCCACCCCACCGCCACACTGAGCCCTGCTGAGACAAGCCCGTTAATCTGCACGTGGCACTTTCATGTACACAGCTCTCCCTGTGAGACACTCTCACAGGGCATACCCATTTCACAGATGTAGTTCTGATACATGTGGAGAGAACAATGTGGTCATTTTGTATGCATCGGTAAATGGTGCCTTTGCCATCTGGCTAGCAGGAATGTTTTGGTGCACACCAGAGTGGTTATCGATCCAGTTCACGCACATACAAACCCACTTGGTTAAAGGAAAGCATTGGGAAAGACTGTTCTGGCCCAGCAGGCCTTTCACTCGCTGATTTCTGAAGAATGTGTGTGTGCCTCCCTCCCCTGGTCTGCATAGACAACTCTTGAGGAGATGCCGGATATGTTTGGGAGTGGGGTAAGGTGGGCTGAGACAACCAGCCAGAAGTGGGGAACAGGGCCAGGCTCCATGGCTGCCTTCTAGGCACAAGATCCAAATAATGCAGCACAAAAAACTCCCTTCACCTAACGTTGCTTACCCCCCCCCCACCAAAATCACCAATTGAAGAACTAAATGAGCCCTTTATAAAAAAACAAATTGCTACTCTGATCTTAATCATCTCAACATAGCCCTGGTAGTTGCCCACTGTACACACACACACACACACACACACACACACACACACACACACAGTGTCATCTGCAAACACAGGCTTTCCAAGTGTCCTCCAGGGTCACCATCAGCATCTCCGTGACTGTGCCTGAGACAGGCCAGATTCTTGTGGCACCTGTGGTCAGCCCATCTGGGTCCTGGTCAGAGCATGGAGGCTGAGAGACCACTACCCTTGCAAGGCTCCAAGTCTGAGTCTGGTACTGAAAGCCCAGTCCAAAGTCACCCTAACAAAGTCAGCTCTCCTCAGGGTCACATCACCACTACCACCAATCACAGTCCCACAGTGTTCAAGCCACACAGGGAGGACCGGGCAGTTTCGGGAATCAAGTGACTCATGCTCTATTGGAAGGCTTTCTTGGACTTCCTCAGGCCAGGCCAGGTGCTCAGGGTGTGTCACAAGAGTACATCATCATTCCTACCTGTGTGTCATGGGTCTCACCCAGGAGACAGTGAGCCCTGTCCCCTTGATCTTGGAATCATGGGCACCTGGGAACAGGCAAGATTGACATCTGCTGAACGGATAGGGAGTGTGACAGCCCTGAGAAGTCCCCTTTGCACTGGGTGGGCCATTGCACCCTGCCTCTGCCACACCTGGCTCCTGAAGTCCCAGTGCCTGACTTGGATTTCAAGGGCTTGCTTCTGCTTTACCTGACCATCCCTGGAGACCCCCTGTTTGCTGGACTCTGAAACCCCGTATGGTATTCCTACCTAGGTGCCTGGTGACTCTGGTTTCACATCTTCGCCACAGACCACAGTTAAGGAAACTATTTGTTAAGTGTAGAGAGCAGAGTCCAGGTCAACCTTCTCTCCTCAGTTCAGCGTAGAAACAAAGGACTGGCGTCCAGCTCCCTCCGACAGAGGTTCGAGCCCCTCCATTTACCAAACTGTGTTTGTGGGTCCAGTTTTTTAAAGCCTGACTGTTACAGTCCTCTTCCTGGTTAAAGATGCTCACCTGGATGGCCCCGATCCTGCCACTTAGAAGCAAGACACTGGTCTCCGCTTTATTTTTCTAGAAGATCCTGATGCTGTTTCTAACTGCTGGATAGTTGGCTTTTTTAAAAAAAAAAAAATCCATACGGCGCTTTTGCCCGTGGATTCCCTGACTCATGTGGAATTGGGGTCAGGTCTCGCACTGTGCATGTCTCTCCCCACGCAGTGTGCCACCGCTGCCTCATAACATCTCTTGTTAGCATTTCCGGGGTGCTGGGAGAGAAAACAACGTCTGGGTGATGGTTCCTGTCAGTTTCCTCATTGTCAGGCCCAATCTTACGTTTCTCCACACTCACAATATTTCCCCACTGGGAACACGCCTGACATTGCAATTTCTCACAACTGCGGCTCTGCCGTGAATGCCTAATTCCCGAAACTGCAAAATCTAACAAAAGCTGATTTTTCCACTGATTTGACTGGCTGACTATTCCGAGGCATTGCGTGTGGTGACCTGCTGTTCTCCACAAACAACGTCTTTAATGTACCCACACGGCTGTTCTGAAGTGGCTGAGGGCAATTAAATCCTCACGAGCTGCCCGCAGGGCATTCAAGAAGACTGGATGGCCAGCGTCCCTGTCACAGACAAATTTCCCCTAGAGGTCATTTAGCAGCTGGTCCTGCAGCATTCTGGTCTTTGATTTTGAACTTTGAACTCGGAACATACTTTCCATCTCAGTGCGTGTGAAAGTCCACACCGTGCCCACTGTGCCAGGATGTGTGAGCTCACCAAGAGCTGTATCATTTAAACACACACACACACACACACACACACACACACACACACACACACACACAAAACAAGAAACACCTAACTAAAACCGGTTCTGTCCTTTCCCTGCTGGTGGTGTTTGCTTAGGGGGAAGTGAAATTTTGGAAGATCTGGCAGTTTTGTGCTTTTTGTTTTAACTTCCAAACACATGCTCTTTGTCTATGGACACACTACCTCCTTGAGCTCTTGCGTATTTTCCACACCTGTCCAACATTAGCAGCATCGTCTCAGTGTGAGTCCGCAGGGCTCTAAGGAAGGTTGAGCCTACCTCCTTCTTTATCACCCAGCTTCCCTCCAGCCCGCAGCTCCGCGTCCCAGGCCTCCGTCAGTCTGCACAAACAGTGGGTTTTGCCCGTTGGTATTTCACTCACCCCGTGTAGAGAACCAGGTCTGGCGGCAAAGCGGCAGTAATAACGTATTCTTTTCAACACCACCTCACCCACAGCTCCCAACGAGATGATGTGAAGAGCGGGCAGAGTCTAAAATAAAGCAGGGTTTCGTGAAAGGACCGCTAAGTTCAGCTTTCAAGGACTGGGTCTTATTTTTTTAATTCACTTTTTTTTTTAATTGCTGCTTAAGGGTGCTGAGTGGTGTTTATAAAACCTCTGCCTCTTGGGCAGAGGCCTGCGAAGCTTTCTCCTGAGACTCGAATCCCAAGGAGCAAGCAGCATGCTAGTGGACCCCCAGACTAGGCCAGAGCAGACACTTCCCTGAGATCGAAACCTTTGAAGGCAGATTGCCACTGTCCAGGCCCAGACCGAGGCCCAGGCGATCCCGCCTGTGCCCGTTGGTCCGGGCCGAACTAGGCCACTCTGCCTCATCCTGGTCTCTGCTTTCCAGGAGACCCTGTCTCCCCTCCCCCTCTCTGCGCCCACTTGTTGCCGTCCCGCCTGGGACCTGTTTGGTTCCCCCACTGATTGTGAAAGGGTTTGGCTTGAGGCTGACCCCAGGCCAGGACTTTCTCCGCTGTGATCCTGCAGTCTTGGACACAAACCCTCCTTTCTTAATTCCCCAGCGGCCTCTGGGCAAGCGTGGACATGAGTAGGGTGGGCGCCAGGCCCTGACTTGCCACCCCGGCAAGGATAGAGGAACTCTAAGAGAGGATGGATATCGCTCTGAACCTGGGCCTCCGACGGGGCGGCTATGCTGGAGAGCATGCGTGGGGAGAGGAGAGGGGCCTCGGAGGCGGGAAGCGGACCGAGCATCAAGACAAAGAGAGGGCCTGTCAGCGCACGGAGGGAAAGCCCAGCGTGAGCCGAAGCTGCAGACCGAGGGCGAGGGGAAGGGAGGGGATGGGAAGAAGTGATGGACCAGGGAGAGGGTGCAGAGAGGGGCGTGAGAGAAGAGCGAGGTGCGGGGCTCAGCGGAGAGCAGAACCACACAAGCGTGACTTGGGACGCCGGAGGCAGAGCGCAGAAGTCCGGGCACGAGCGCCACGGGAGGCCGGCTCGCTCCCCGAGGGGTCCTGGCCCCAACACCCGGCCACGTCCGTGGCCGCACTGCCCCGCTGGTTGGTTCTGGGGGGGGGGGGAGGATGAAGCCAGGTCCTGCGGGGCGCAGCTGGAGAGGAAGAGCCTCGCGAGAGGCGGGGGAGGAAGGAGGGCAAGAAGAGAGGGAGGGGTGCGGCGCCCCTAGCCGGAGAGGCTGCCTGGCTGCCACCAGTCCACCCGCCACCCGGCACAGAAGGACTCCGGCGCTCTCTCCCGGGGACCCGCGCCGCATCCCTCCTCCCCATGCGCCGGGGCCTCTCAGTCCCGCCAAGTAGTCCCGGTGCCAAGGCCAAGTCTGTTTTTCTCCTGAACTTTCCCAGGACTCTAACCTAGGGTTGGATTCCACCGCTGGGCTCCCGGACACCCGCTGCGGAAGCTGGGTGGGGGAGAGGGCGTGACCAGAAGAGCACCCGGGGCCCCAGCCAGCGGAGCTCGACCCCGGCTGGACAGAGCTTGCTTTCCTGCGTCCCCAGGGCACGAGTGCTAGGAGGGCTTCTCGAACTGACTGGAATTTTCCGGAGACAGAGCTCGGCAGTGCCCAGTCTTTGTCGGGGAAAATGAAATGCGTGAATATGAGTGTTATTCTTCTCCCACACGCATGATTTTAATAGACCTATCAGTCACATCCCGACACATCTGCAGATCAGGCGCGCTGCGCCCGCAACTCCTTAAAAAAAAAAATTAATTCGTTTCATCTGCCTACTAGTGGGCTTGAGGGAGGGTGTCAAAGTCTCAGTGGCAACAATAAAAAGGGGCCAGTGAGTTTTTGTTTTTTTAAAGCGAGGAAGAAAAAAAAAGGGAAGAGGAGAGAGGGAAGGAGGGAAAGGAGAGGGGGCGGGGAGGGGTGGGGGGGGCGAGACCGTCAAGCAAATCATCCTGCTTAGTTCACCGGTGAGTTTAGAAGCCACCCAGGTGCCCTACACAAAGTTACGCAAACTTTATCCAGGCTTGACAAAGATTCTGCCCCGCTCTCCACAGAGATTTTAAACAAAATTGCACTAATGGAACGGAACGCCGCCCGTGCATTGGAAGTGAATTATCATGTAATAATGACCACAAAGAATCTCACTTGAACACCAACGTGCGTTGCTTGGTTAGGAACTGCATTTATCCTTGAGCTGTGTGCTCCAAGTAAGGCCTAGGTGAAAATCCTCTCCACTTATTTAAACTGGAGAGAGCCTGCCCGGATCTGGCCCCCATTTGGAGAGGAGTCCCCCTTAATCCTCCTGCTTTATTTTCAAATTAAGTCATTAGAGAATTCCTCCTCGTCTTTCACACCAGCAGAACCCAGAGGAAGGTGGTGTGGAGGCCTGGCACAAAGCATCCCAGCTCACTGGGTGGAGTTCAAGCCGGGAACACACAACACACACACAAAAATGAGGGGGCTGAGCCGTCTGGTGATCGCTAGATGACTAACTTTATGTGTGGCGCTTCACTTACAATGGGTCCTAACTCCTATGGCGATGAGCCCTGGGCTAGCTGCCTGCAGCCAAGGAACCCCAGAAGCCCAGGCTTGACAGAGGTGAGTGTGGCTACTCCTGCCCCCACTACAGAAAGAAGACCTTGGTGTTGGGGACCAGTCAGCAAAGGCCCTTGTGTATTAAGGGGAAGGTGGGCTGGACCCCGAAAGTACCCTAGGATTTCCCCAAGGAGGTTACTGGGCTCTTCTTCCCGGACTGCCTTCTTGGACTCCTAAGCAAGCAAAGCCATTCTGGAAACAACAGAGCAAAAACCCTAAAGGAAAAATGAGGAGAGGAAAAACAAAAGCAGGCGTCCTTTTAATACCTCATCAGAAAGTAGTGGGCAGTGTTCTCGGAGCTCTTGCAATCACTTTAAGGAGTGAGGGGTTTAAGCAAAATCATCAAAATGACTTTTTTTTTTTAAATCACACATGTCGCTTTGTAAGATTAGCATTTATACGGAAAGATATTCTCCAATGTAGGCTGAGCTAAGGTCTTGCTGAACTGATAGAGTAAGTCCACTCTCGAATGGCTACTTCATATTCATTCAAAAAAAAAAAGAAAGAAAGAAAGAAAAAGAAAAAGAAAGAAAAAAGGAAAAAGGAAAAGGAAGTGGGGGGAAATGAGGGGAAAGAATGTTGAAATTAGTATTATTTCTCATCTGGACTTAAGGGAAATTTCCTTCAAAAATAGAATTTCATTCTAATGTCATGATTAATTTCAAAACATATTTACTGCAGTATAGCTTTTAAATGCAATATTTAATGCTGTCAGATTACTTGAAGACGAAGTTTTACAGAAAACTTTAAATTCCAGAAAAAAAAACCCTGCAATGTACCAATAAACACCTAGAAAAAATATAATTAAAAATATTTAAAGCATCAAACAACCTCAAGATCTGGTCAGGAATAATAAACACCGTATTCTGTGTTTACATTCCCTAGCAACCTGCATCCCGTTTCACACAGGAGAGGGGGTGGTCGGTTCTTTCTCTCTCTGTGTGAGTGTGTGTGTGTGTGTGTGTGTGTGTGTGTGTGTGTGTGTAAGGAAATCAGCGAAATCATGTTGCATTTTCCCAGAGAGGAAGGGGGAGGTGTTTGGGTAGGATTTGGGTGAGGGACACTCTGGTGGTGCGTTCTGGGTCAGGATTGCTTCCTCGAACCACAGGAAGGTAATTTCACTTACAATCCCAATTACAGAGCTATCAAAGGCACGCTGTCTTGGTGGTGGTCGTGGTCCCCCATCCCTGGCCTCTTCCCACCAGTCCCACCACTGAGTACTGTCCTTTCTCCTCCCAACCAGGACCAAGCTGCCTCAGAAACTACTACAGCAGGTGAAGGGCAGAGCCACAGCAAAAATAAAATGCAAAAACTGTGCCAGGGCCGCGGCGGTTAAAATGTGAAACCATTAGGAAGTGTTCTGTAGTTTCTCCCTTTTGTGTTAACGTCAGCTCTACAGAATAATCCACGGAGTTTAGCTTTCTCTTTTCCCACTGAATAAAGCCACTGAAGCGCTGCCCTCCGTTCAGCGGGGCTCTCTTACCCTTGGGCCCTACTGGTATTTTTCCTCCAACAGATTGCTAATTGTATTTTGAACTCATAAATCATGCATATAAAATTAGCACGTTTCAATTTCATAGGGAAACGGGCTTCTCTCTCTTAAACGTATTGATTCAAATTTTGATGCATTTTGGTGGTGGTGGGGAAATCTCTTGTTTTTCTCTTCTTTTTTTTTTTAGATGAAAGACTTGCAGGCTATGTACATAATCTGACTCCTCTCCCCCCCGTACCGCAACGCCTAAAATAAAAATGTCACAACGCATTTACAAGAAATAATACAAAACAAAACAAAAAAATGGAAATGCTCGGATACAGAGTTTTACAAAACCCAGAATATATCTCCACCGTCTGAGAGGGGACCGCGGTATAAATGAACCAACCAACCCAAAAGAGCGGTAACAGCTACAAAAAACTTGTAAATGTTTGGATCTGCCTTACTACATTTGTAACAAGTGAGAACAGCTCGAGGTCCGTCACTTGGCCTCAGGCAGAAGAGCCGGCGGGAGGTAAAGCCCGGGGAAAGTTACAGAGCCGGCAGTCATACAAAAGTTGGCATTGCCTCGCTGGGTTTTGTCCTTTGTCCTCCCGAGCCGAGAAAACGCTGTGTGCCTCCTCTGCGGACGATAAATACTGTACAAAAGGTCTCGTGAAAACACCAAAGTTCTGTCTATGACGCCAGTCTGGTGTCAGCGCCTCGGAGTCCCGGGAAAAGGTGAGAGGGGGCAGGTGTCACCTAGTGCTCCGATCTCCAGAGCGGTCTTTTGACAAAAACGCGGAGACGTCTGTACAAAGTCGAGCTCTGGAGGCTCCGGCGCAGGCCTCACGCTCTTCGTCGCCGGGTCGGCGGCCTGGAGCCGCACTGTCCCCGGCGTCCCCGCGGCGCTAGATATGCGTCAGGGGCACCGTGCCGTTGACGCCCGCGCCCGCGCCCTGGTAGTGCTGTGGCAGCGAGTGCAGCCGGCTCTGGGCCGCGGCAGCCGCTGCCGCCGCCGGGTCGCCACCCTCGCCG